TCTGATCTCTCTCTTAAATATATTTTATTTATTTATTTATTTAGAGGAAGGGAGAGAGAGATAGAAACTTTGATGAAAGAGAAACGTCATTGATCGGGGCTGCCTCCTGGACAACCCCCACTCGAGATTGAGCCTGCAACCTGGGCATATGCCCTGACCGGGAATCAAACCGGTGGTTCCTGTGTTGGCACTCAACTGCGGAGTCACACCCAGCTGAGCTGATGATCTCTTGATAGTCTAGTCTGGTCTCAGCATAGTTTCCTCCTGCAGCATCGCTAAGGATGGGATACCTCTCCGTAGGGCTGCCCCATACCTCCGTGGAGCTGTTACCTTTGTGAGAAACTATTCCTGCAGCCTTGGAATTTCTATCTGGCCCTTGAAATCCAGTCTTCACAGACAGCTCTCGCAACACTTGAAGACTGCTATTGCATCTCCGGGGCCAAAGAGCCGCATGTGGCTCACGAACTGCCATTTGCCGACCACGGTTCTAGGTCTTTATCTCCCTCTGTTGACAGACCAAGGATAAAAGACATTTGTTTGCTCTTTTGTTCATCCCATACACATTTGGTACAAAGATGAGTAAGTCAATAATACAGGGGAGACAGACATAAAGGAACAGCAGTGTGTGTCTGAGGAGTGTGTGCACAGACCCTGCAGGCCCTCGCAGCCTGAAGAAATGAAGGAAGGCCATCTGGATTCCTTCCCTAAGGTGGGAGCACCTGTGGAGAGCCCACCTGGGGCTTCCTGACAGCTCAGCCACCTTCTCCCCAGCTCTCCCTTTCCACCTGCTATACCTGTGGTTATATTTTCAACAACAGCGCTTAGGCCAGTGACGGCGAGCCTATGACACGCGTGTCAGAGGTGACACGCGAACTCATTTTTTTGGTTGATTTTTCTTTGTTAAATGGCATTTAAATATATACAATAAACATCAAAACTATAAATCTTTGTTTTACTATGGTTGCAAAGATCAAAAAATTTCTATATGTGACACGGCACCAGAGTTAAGTTAGGGTTTTTCAAAATGCTGACACGCCAAGCTCAAAAGGTTCGCCATCACTGGCTTGGGTGGTAGGTTGGTCATTCGGTCATGTGCCTTTTTTGTTGTTAATAGTCACCTGAGGATATTTTTTCCATTGATGTTTAAATTTTTTTTTCAGAGAGAGAGGATTTCTGTTGTCATTACCTCACACTTGTTTCTGAGCTTGGGTCTATTTCCTTATCATTTAAATTCAAATGGCATTTACGGAGCATCTGCTATAGGTGGGAATTTTTATTTTGAATATTGGCTTATATAACTCTCTAAAGACTTAAAAACCCATTATTATCACCATTTACTAAGTGAGGATACAGGCTCAGTGAGATTAATAGGTTGAGCAAGGCCACCCAGCTAAGAAGGGAAGAGAAGAACTTGGGTCAGAATTCAGGCCTCTTGTTTCTAAATCCAGGCCAGGGTCCATTTTACTGTCACCGCTAAGCACGAATTTACGTCCCTCCTCCACCCCATCTGCCTTTGGCTTTCTTGAAAATAGGAACCACGTGGAGTGGGGGCCTCCCGCCGGCGTTGACAAGGCTGAGGACTCAAGTCCCGAGGGACCACCTGCAGCCCCTCCCTGTGCTGAAGCCTGAGCAGGGCTGCAGGGGATGCTCAGAACATCACCTGCTGGGCTTTTTGTAAAAGGAGAACCGTCTTTGCGCAAAGTAACACTTTTTCTGGTTTCAAATGTAATGCATGTTCCTTATAGAAAACGTAGGAAGTGTGGAGAAGCCCACAGGAGAAACCGTGCTTCTGTCAGCATTCGGAAGCCAAGGGTCCGTTGTCCTGAATGATCTGGTGCTGAAACCCCTTAAATCTCACCTTGAGCCCTGGATGGGGAGCAGATTTGAGCCTTGACTCCTGTCTCCTTGCTGGTTGAACCCGAA